TTGCCTTCTGTATATCCATTTTGAGTAAATTTTTGTACCAGTACCCGGTGTGCGTCTAAGTACTTTTTTCTCATGTGGCTATCCAAATGCTTCTAGCACCATGTTTTGGAGAAGTGATCTTTTTCACATGGCATTGCCTTACACTTTTGTCAAAAACCAGTTGTCTTTTGGGGCGCCTGGGTGGCTCAGTCGGTTAAGCGTCTGCTTTCGGCTCAGGTCATGATCTCAGGGTCCTGGGATCGAGCCCCGCATCGGGCTCCCTGCTCGGCGGGGGGTCTGCTTCTCCCTCTCCCTCTGCTGCTTCCCCTGCTTGTGCTCTCTTGCTCTGTCTTTCTCTCTCAAATAAATAAATAAAATCTTTAAAAAAAAATCAGTTGTCGGGGCGCCTGGGTGGCTCAGATGGTTGAGCGTCTGCCTTCAGCTCAGGTCATGATCCCAGGGTCCTGGGATCAAGTCCTGCATCAGGCTCCCTGCTGGGTGGAGAGCCTGCTTCTCCCTCTGCCTCTGCCCTTCTCTCTCTCTCTCTCTCTCTCTGACTCTCATGAATAAATAAATAAATAACAAAAAAGAAAAAGAAAAAGAAATCAAAAAAATCAGTTGTCTTTTATCTGTAGGTTTATTTCTGGACTCTCTTCTCCATTTATCTGTTTGTCTCTTTTTATGCTAATACCATTCTTTTTTGATTACTGTTGCTTTATAATAATTCTTGAAATCAGGTAGTGTTTTCCCTTCAACTTTGTTTCTCATTTTCAGAGTCTGGTCTAGGTCCTGTGTATTTCAATATGACTTTTAGAATCAGCTTGTCAATTTCTGTAAAAAATGCCTGATGGGATTTTGACTGCGATTTCATTGAATCTATAGATAAATTTGAGGGAGAATTAACATCTTCTTAATACTAAGTCTTCTGACCCATGAATGAAATAGATCTTTCCCTTTATTTAAGTCTTAAAATTTCTCTCAGCAATATTTCTTTTCAGAGTATAGGTCTCTTTTAAAATATAGTTTACTTATATATGTAAATAAATGTATTAATTACATTTCCCAGCTACCCACTTTGCTTCATAATCCATGTTAAATTAGGCTTCTACCTCCTCAGCCACTTAAAGTGTTGAGAGAGTTGGTGGGGGGTGCTGGTCCCACCCAAACAACAAAGACAAGCCGAACAACCTGCTAATGTAGTTAGTGTGCAGTTGTCTGCCCGGGAACTACACGTGTCATCCGCTGTTGACCTTCTAGAGTGCCCTTTATATGTGATCAGTTCCTTTTTTAAGAAGTTGCTTAATTATCTTCCACTCTTACTGCCTGTGTGTGTTTTGTTGGGAAAGAAGTAATTAATTTTCATCCTTATTTGGTCATCTGTGTCTAGTTCAGTGTGGCTTATATAGCTACTTTGCCATGAGTCCATTACGACATTTGACTCATTTAACTGATTAAGAATAGATTGGTCATAAACTTCTCTTGTTTTGAAGTGGGGTAAGTTTGTTCGATGCATTTGCAAAAAAAAACTAAGTGTCATAAAAGTATATTTCAGTTATGCTTTGAACCTGTCCCAGGATCTGGGTTCAGTAGGCACTGTGGTGTTAGTCTGTTCATAGCAGAGCAGCACATTGTTAGAGGTGTGCATGCATTCTGCTGGTGCTCGTGTGGGTCCCCGAAGGCTTTGGGAGGCTCTGTTTGCTGTGGAATTAAGGAGGGCTGTGAAGGGAGGGCTTCCAGTCAAAAGAAACAGCAAGTATAGAGAACTTGGGCCCCAGAGAGTTGTAGGATACAGTGCCAAAAGCAAATGTAGACCGTTTTAAAGCCAGAAAATTAATTTGAGATTAGTTGTGAAGAACATGTGTATAATGATGTAAATCTGAATTATCTTCTAAGTAATTGTCAAATAGTGGAGATTTTTTGGGTGGAGATAAACATAATCCTTAGTTTTGCCAACCAGTTCATCTGGAATTCATATTGAATTAGGGAGTTGATAGTAATGGAGACCATTTAGTAGAATATTCTCTTTATTCAGGTAAAAAATGAATAGCACTGAGATTGGTGGGCAGGGTCTATGTTTAAGAAGCTTTGGAGTAAGAATTAGTAGTCCTTTGAGTTACTTCTTGATCTTTCAAAGAAGCCTGTGAAACTTGGTTCATGCAACAAGCCAGGCGAATGCTTTCCTTCTGTGAGAAACATGTAAGCTGCTACACTTTGGAAGCATGGTGGCTGGGAACATTTATTGCTAGGAGGAGGGCTCAATGGAAGGATTTCATTGCAGTAGTTTAGAGAGAGGGAAGGATGGCTGTTAACCTTACTTGGTAACATTCACTGTTAACCATTTCATCAGAAAGGAAAAGGCCAGAGTTTGTACTCCAGGTAAATTGAAAACAGTGTTTTTAAGAACAACTGTCCTTAGGTATAAAGTACTGCCCTATACATTGTTACTATATTTAGAACTTGCTTCTCTCAAATGTAGCTCTGAAGTTATTAAATTTTATTTTATTAAGATTTTATTTATTTATTTGACAAGAGAGAGACACAGTGAGAGAGGGAACACAAGCAGGAGGAGTGGGAGAGGGAGAAGCAGGCTTCCCGCTGAGCAGGGAGCCCAATGTGGGGCTCGATCCCAGGACCCTGGGATCATGACCTGAGCCGAAGGCAGACGCTCAACGACTGAGCCACCCAGGCCCCCTGAAATTATTAAATTTTAAATGCCCATTTCAGAAACACTTTGCGTTGTTGATGGCTCTATTGGGTTGTGAGAGCAGGTGGCAGTTCTGTCTTTTCTTTGTGCTGTGACATGTAAGATTTAGGGATTTTCTTTTGTTATCAGTCCCCCAACTCTGATAATAGTATGTTACTAGGGTCAGCTGTCAGCTCAGTTCACAAAGGGTGGCCGGAAATCAAACTGTTCTTGTGGGCATGAGCTGTTCCCATTGGGCAGCGAGGGTCACGGTGCTGGGCTGTCACTCGAGGGGGTCAGGTGCCTGGGGAGCAGGTAATGTTCCTCCGTCTTTTCTGTCTAATGCCCTGACTGCTCGTGAAGAAAGAGAAGTCAGTGAGTTCATGGGACCAAGGCTGTAAAGGAAGTACAAGGAGTCCCCTGCACAGAGATTAATTAAAATTGTTAGAGAGCCAAGAGCCATTAAGCAATTTGACCAATTCTTCAAAATTCAGAAGTGTGTACTTTGAGTAGGTATGTGAGGCAGATTGCCATACCGATTTGACATGATAGCCTTCTTCTGTTTTGTTCATATTGTATTCTTAACATGAGAACTTTCTGCACTGTATTTTACCTTCACCTGTCTTCCTTAAACATGTAATTGCAAGTAAGTTCCATAGAAATGAATAAAAATCACTATATAATGCCCCCAAACTAAAGGCTATTAAATATAGATTGTGTCTGTTATGAGACAGAATAAGTACTATCTTTCTCAGAAATGTAAGATCTTGATTAAGGAGTCAGAAAAGGATATATTTTTCTGTTTCAAAATATGTATAAATTGTTTATACATTTATTTTATCTTACAATTACAGCTATTTCTCTACCTCTCCTTTTTGAATGGGTCCATTATAAAGAATATAGAAAAGCAGAAGGAAGGAAAAGTGGATTGGATAGTTAGGAGAGAAAATAAAATTAAGTGATAAGACAGGCATTCTGTTGAGTAATACTCAGCATGAGATCAGTGAGTAACTTTGCTGCCTGGTGCTTAGCTATAGAAAACATAATAGTGGGAGCACAGACATGAAGCTTGAAGGGACCAAATGAAAAAATAATTAAAATAGACATTCTTTTGTAAGTATACTTTCTGGCTATTAATAGACATATACTTATCACTTACGAAGATATCTTAAGATTTGTTTCACATGTAATTTTAAAGAACATTGCTATTTTATAATATGAATTAAAAAATAGCTTCCCCCCCCCACTAGTTCTAGTCCTTATGTGTTTATTGTATATTTGAGGAACATGGAAAAATACAATAGTTACAAAACTTTTTTTGATGTCCTGAAAACATCTTTAGGAACAGGTGTGGCACTGATGAAACTCAGATGCCAAGAAGTATTTAGGAAATAAGTTTGTAATAAGTTGAATATGGTCTAAAAGTCAGTGGTATGGCTGGTAATGTTTTTGATAATGTGATATGAACTTACCTCTTGTTCTGTTAGCTTTCAGAATAAATTGAATGTAAAGACATAGGTCTTTTCCCATGTGAAAAGAGCCACTAAAAGGTAAAAATAGATCCACAAGGCTGTTGCCAGTTCTAAAAGGGAGATTGACGGAGGGAGGGAGGGAGGGTCCAGAGTTCCAGGGAGAGAGAGAACTTGAGTAAGTTTTGTTACTTATGTAGGATGGCGTCTCAAGTTAAGTATATAACATTTCATCTACTCTGTATGACCTTAACGTTCTATAGTGCTGACTGTTAAATTTTATAGATGATTATTATACTAGATATTATATAGATAATCTAAGAATTTACACACTGTATCATGTAGAAGAATCACTTCTTGATAAGGCTTTCGTCCTTATCATTATCAGTTACCAGTACGGAACCATCTGTAAAGCTACCAGCGCACGGTGATTTTATGTATCATTTTCTTTAATTCTTTTGTTCTGTCAGTTACGTGTCAGTCAATGCCATTCACAATATTAATATAAGGATTTTACATCTTCATTTTATTCACTCATTAAATCATCTTTAGTGCTGCTTCTCATCGTCATTGCTGGACCCAGACCTGAAATAATGGCAGATTTGGGAAGAACCTTCTGGTTGGAGCCCTCTCGTCTTTTATTGGGGGGCAGTTAACTGTTTGTACTTGGGAGCTGACTAAGAGAAGTTAATTTTTAGTGACTGTGTCTATGTGAAATAAATTTATTTTGAAAGTATAAGTACAGATAAATTCCTGGTGTTACCCCCATTCCCCAAAAGTTATTTCTGAAGTATTATTTGTCAATTGAAACTTTAACTCTGGTGTGCTATTGTTTCCTTGAGTTGATTATACTTCTTCTTTTTTTTAAGGTAAAGTGCAAGTTAAGAGTTCAGACATACAAGTTGGAGACCTCATCATAGTGGAAAAGGTTGATGCATTTTTAATATATTTTAGACCTGTCTATGCCAGTGATTAACATTTAGCTTGATTGCAGTAACTTTGAATCTGAAGAAAAATTGTTTGAGACAGTTATTTTAACTCTTAACTTCTTTGTGTAAGATATGATATACATGAAGAAAAATTAGATTTTTCTGTAGTCTGTTTTGCTTTAGTACATTTCAGTGTATGCAGGTAAAATTGTATTTTGTCTAAAATAAGACGTGTTAACTGCTTAATATTGCATTATCAGAATTATTTCATTTGACCAAAGAATTATATTAGTTAGAACCTATTTAGAATATGTTTCATTTTCTAAAACCTCCTTTTATAGATAGATATATTACACATAAGTAATTGGATATTATTCTTGGGATTTAGAAACTTCAAGAAGGAAAGGTCAATGGAAGTAAGAGAATATTAGAAAGAAAAGGCTTATTAGGTTATTGTAGGAAAAGGCCATTAAGAAAACCCCTCAGTGTCAGACTTGGAAGTTTTCAGGTGCCCCAGTGGGTGACTGGATGGGCCGCCTGCTCTGGGTGGAAGTGCTTCTGCACGCCCTGACTTCTCTGAGGAACGGTGGATGAATGGACCGCCTCTGTTTTTTCTTTTCCTTTTCTTTTTTTTCCTGTTTTTAAGGCGCTAGAATAGCTTTTAAAAAACATTCTTGTTGGAGAAGTTGTACTAGGGCCTCTTACAAGAATAGTTTGAACCCTTGCTGCCATCTGGTGCCATGTACCCAGCCTGAGCCACCTCGTGGAGATGTTTGGTACAAAAAGGTCTTTTTCCTCAAGACTAAAGTGGGCTTTATCTTGCTACAGTAATCTCTGTACAGAGAATGTTGTTGGGTATGTTTGTTTGATTTTACAAAATGGGACAAAATTGAACATACTGATTTTGCAGCTCATTTCTGTAGCATTCAGTTGTCTGGACACTGTAAGTTACTAGCTTTTGATCCATGGTTAGATTTTCAGGTGGTGTCTGTGTTCTCTGTTATTATAAAGTGCTGTGTGAGCACCCTTCTATATCCATCTCTGTCTGTTTCTGTAGGATAAATGCTGACGTGAGAGACGATTGAGCCATACGTGAGTCCAACACCAGTGTTTATTACCTCACAGTTTCTGTGGTCAGGAATTGGGGTATAGACTGGTGTGGGTCCTTCTCAGGGCTGTAGTCACCAGGTGGCCGTCACCTCCAGCTCTCTGGAGGGTTGTTGGCAGGCTCAGGGCCTCAGTTCCATGAGATTTTGGCTGGAGGCCTCCCTCATTCCTGCCACACAGTGTGAGCCACAGCTCACAGTGGCCTGCCCAGAGGAGGTGGGAGTGCCCACAGTGTGGACTCGCGGGCTGGGACCTGGTGGCAGCGGTGACATCCATCACCTCTTGTTTCCCTTGGAAGAGACGGTATGGTGTTGATGGTGGGGTTTGAAGAGCAGGTAGTCTCTCGTTGTGGATCAGGGAATGCTATTTGGCCTCATTTCCTTTGCTCTCCTGTTTAGGCACGTTCTCCTTCCCTTTGCAGCCTAGGTTGGTGGAGTGGTGCGCCCTTTGGTGCTTCCATTTTTACTGAGTAACACGTGAGCCCTTCTTGGCCACGTTGTAAGAGCTCATCTCTTCAGTCATATAGATGGATGTGAAAGATAGACATCTAGATCTACGTCTGGGCATTCCCCTTGAGCTTCTCGCTGGCCTCCCAGGTGTGCTCTCCACCTGCGAGAGGTTGATGAGTGACGTGGGCCTTTGTAGACATCCAGGTAAACGTTTTACTTGAATGTGGTGGTAGCTCCATGGGCAGCGCGGTGTGGATAGTCCTCCCACACTAGATCCGTATTGTATACGAGCATGCGTACGGTCCCTACCTGACCCTGATGTTCACAGATTTGGCAGCAGAAGGACTTCTGAAATATTTTCACTAACCTTTAGGAAATGTTGTTGTACAGTAAAAAATAGGGGTGGCCTCTACCTGACTTAGTTTTTTTGTATTTCCAGTTTACACTCATATTAAAAAATTTGAGACATAATTTCTAGTAATTACTATGAAACGATAAATTTTTAGTGGATTTATGTTTGTTAAACCAATTTTGTGGTTTTTGTAGTGATAAAAGTTACTGGTTGACTTAACCATCATAAAGAAATAGTAACGATATGGTTGCAAATGGCTTTGTCCTTTTATTTTTTATTTAAGGATCCTAGCAGTACTTATCACTAACCAGAAAAGTAATTTCTCTGTTATTTGACCATACTGCTACTCAGGAATTAATGCTTGGATATTTCCATGGTGGATTTTATGTTTGAGGGTAGCCCTTCTAATTCTGTATCTGAATGTGAAATTAAAATTAGTGTATTAATAGTCATTGTATGGGTCTTTGAAGTGTGTTCACCAAATCTGGACCAGTGTCTCCTCACAGGAGAGCAGCAGCCTGGGACAATGGGAGAGAGTAGAATGTGGGCTTTCATGTTAGATGAATCCGGGTATAAACTCCTCGTTTTCCAGCCTCAAACTTTCCCTCGGAGAAGCAGCTCATTGACATGCACTTAGAAAGTGGTAGGCTAGAACTGTACAGAGTCAGGGTTAGATCATGCATGCAGGGCGAAGAAAGAAAACCCAAAGATTGTTTCCTGGCTTAAGAAGGAACCCTCCTAAGAAGTACCTAAAATTGTAGACAAATATGTCGACTTAAATATTATTACTTGAGGAATGTGTCAAGTAGGGTAACTGTTTGGAACAGGAGACTTAGAAGTTGAAGGTTGTCCAGGTCCTAACATCAGCTCTGAAGTCCAGGTGTTTGAGAGGGATCCAGAGGACACAAGCAGAGCAGGATTGAAGGTGACACTTGAGGGTCCTCCTTCATTACTCAGCCTAAACATCTTTTTTAACAGCTAAATTTGAAAGACAGTTTCTTTATCCTGTTTTTTTGAGGGAATGCAATTTAATAAATATTTTAAACAATTTAATAAGTATTAGCATGCATATTTTAATACCCAGAACAAACACTACAAAAAATATGCATAGACATACAGTCTGAGATACTAAGATGGACTCCTGAAAAGGGTTCAGGTAACACACAAGAAAGGAGGAAATTTGAAACTGAAGAATGAATACCAGAGGAAACCAACAGAAAACAAATAATAAAATGCAGACTTATACTCTAATGTGTCAGTAATTACTTTTATTATGAATAGTCCGAATATACCAATCCTGAGATAGAGTGGATAAAGAAGTGAGACCCAGGGCGCCTGGGTGGCTCAGTCATTAAGCGTCTGCCTTCGGCTCAGGTCATGATCCCAGGGTCCTGGGATCGAGCCCCGCATCGGGCTCCCTGCTCCGCGGGAAGCCTGCTTCTCCCTCTCCCACTCCCCCTGCTTGTGTTCCCTCTCTCGCGCTCTCTCTCTCTGTCAAATAAATAAATAAAATCTTTAAAAAGAAAAAATAATTGCCAGTTGATATCCGCAATATATATAGAAAATTCAGCATCATGATGACGTGGAGTTTATTCCAGGTACCTAAGGCCCATTTCAACATTCTAAAATCACCCAGTGTAATCCACTCTATGAACAGGCTGAAAGAAAATTATATGATCATATCAACATGTGACTACATCCAACACCCATTCATGATAAAAACTATCCACAGTCTGGATTAGATGGTAATTACCTTAATTATGTTTAAAGGGCATCTGTAAAAACATATAGCCAACATCATACTTAACAGTGAAATTCTGAATGCCTCTCCTTTCAGATTGGGAGTAAGTCAAGGATGTTTGTTCTTAACCACTCTTATTTAACTAACATTTCTAGCTACATAGAATAAGGCAAGTAAAGGAAATTAAAGGAATTCAGATTGGAAAGGAAGAAATGAAAATGTCCCCATTTGCAGACGACATGATTGTGTATATAGACAATCCCAAGGAACTGATGAAAAACCTGGAACTAATGATAATGAATAGGTTCAGCAAAGTGGCAAATTATAAGATCACCACTCAAATATCCCATTTCCAACATGTGGAAACTGAAATTAAAAATGAAGTACTCTTACAGGCACTACTGTGAAAACAAAATCTTAGGTATGCTGAAAATAACAGTGTGTTCATGAAAGTAATGAAAGACACTGTAAAATTCCAGTTTTCCTAAAATTGAATATAGGTTTAATACAATTCCCATTAAAATCTCAGCGAGGTTTTTTTTTTTCTTTTCTTTTCTTTTTTTTTTAGAGATTTTATTTATTTATTTGACAGAGACACAGCGAGAGAGGGAACACAAGCAGGGGGAGCGGGAGAGGGAGAAGCAGGCTTCCCGCTGAGCAGGCAGCCCGATGCGGGGCTCGATCCCAGGACCCTGGGGTCATGACCTGAGCCGAAGGCAGACGCTTAACGACTGAGCCACCCAGGTGCCCCGAAGTTTTGTTTTTTGTTTTTACTTTTTTAGATAAAATAAGCTTATTCTAAAACTAATTTGTCAAGGCTAAAATGGCAAAAACAGCCTTGACAAGGAGAACAAAGTGAGAAGGTTCACTTCCTGATGTTAAGGCATACTACCTAGCTTTATTTCCCAACACAGTGTGTAAGAAGAAATAAAGATCAGTGGAACGGTGTGGAGAACCCAGAAATAGACACACCCAAATGCTCAAGTGATTTTTTTAAGAAAAAAATTCCATTATGATAACATTAAAAAGAATAAAATACTTATAAATAAAATAATTGTTAAGAATAAGCAACAAAAGTGCAAAACTTGTACTTTGAAAACTACAGAGCAGTGTCAAAATATACTAAAGAAGACCTAAATAAATGGAAAGACATCATATATATCATGGATTAGAAGTATTAATATTGTTAAAATGGCAGTACTCCCCAAATTGATCTACATATTCTGTGCTATCCCTCTCAACATCCCAGCTGACTTTTTTGCAGAAATTGACAAGCTGATTCTAAAATTATATGGAAACACAAGGGACCCAGAATAGTGAAAAACAGTTTTGAAAAAGATGAATAAAATTGTAGTATTCACACTTTTCCCTTTCAAAACTTTATTCAATGTTAGAATAACCTAGACAGCGTAGAGCTTGCAAAAATTCAGAATTGAAAGTTCAGAAATAAAGCCTTAAATTTGTGGTTAATTGCTTTTCAACATGGGTGCCTAGAAGACTCCATGGGGTACAGGGGTGTATTTAGGTGAGTGCTTTTTTTTTTTTTTTTTTTGACCCAGTACTGTTTGTGAGATTCTCCCATTTTGTTGTGTGTAGCCGTAATTCATTCATTTTGTTGTTACGTAGTATGTCTTTTATCCATTCTACTGTTGCTGGATATTTGGGTAGCTTATTAGTCTTGCCTATTAGAAATGATAATTCCATGTCATACTTGGCTCAGTTGGCACACATTGCTAGCGTGTATATACCTGAAGAGTGGAATTGTTGGGTTTTGGGGTGTGCGAGGTTCCACTTCAGTAGATACTGCAAATGATTTTGCAAGGTAATGTATCCAGTTATACTGTAATGAGCAGTGTGTAAGAGTTCCTGTTGCTTCACATGTTTGCTGACAATTCTCATTGTCAGCCTTTATACCTTAGCATTTCCAGTATGTATGTAGTAGTTGTGGTTTTAACACGCATTTTCTTGAAAAATAATCAAGTTGGACACCTTTTCATATGATTTGGGGAATCTTTCTTATTTGGGAAGAGCCTGTTAAAATCACTTGCCATTTTTCTTCTAAGTTATCCCTTCTTTTCTTAACCGTTTATGGGTCATTGTGTATTCTGTCTGGGAGTTTCTTATTAATTATTATATGTTGCAATTATTTTTTCCTCCCTGGTGTGCTTTGTTGAAGAGATGTTCTTAATTTTGATTAAGTCCACTTTATTAATCTTTTCATTTGGAGTTAGTTGGGGATTTTTGTTTTGTTTTTTAAATTTTTGTTTGTGGAGAAGGGGGAATCTTGTTAGGGTTGGTGGGGAAGAAATTACTCCCTACCAAAAAGTTGTGAAAATATTCTGTAATATCTTTTAGGGCTTTATAGTTTTGACTTTGACATTTAGAAGCAGAATTCATTTGGAATATATTCTTATGTTTTGATTGATAGAGAGCTTTAGTATTTATTAGCTCCTGTCATCTCCTATAGATACCTAATAAATTAGTTTCTCAATACCGTTTATTGAGAAGACCACGGTGTCCTCGTTGGTCTGCAGGAGCACCTTTCTCATTAATCTAGTGTCCATTTTTGTGTGAGCCTCCCTTCTGGAGTCTCTGTGTTCCCATTGGTATAATTATCTATCTTAGAGGAATACCATCTTGTCTTAATTGCTCTACTATTATTAATATTTTAGTTTTGTTATATTGTAGAATCAACCTTCCACGTTTCTCACATTTGTCTTGTTCATTCTTGGCCTTGGCATTTCCCTCTAAATATTAGGAATACCTTGTCAATTCCTCTCAAAAAACATGTTACGATTTTGATTGGATTTGTGTTAAATATATATATCACTTGATGGGCACATGACATCTTTGCATTCTGATTTTAGAGAGTGATGTATTCTGTGTGTTTAGGTTTTATTTAACTTCTCTCAATAATGTTTGATAGCTTTTGTTTAGAGAACTTGTCTTTTGTTAGTTATAGTCTAACCTTAGTTTTTCTTATTACTGAAATGGGCGTATTTAAAAAATACTTTCTTGCTGTTCATTACTCCTATTTATATACTTGTTTCCTAGGTCATTAATTTCTGTTTTTATATTTGCTTGCATCCTTGTACTTTCTTTGGGGTTCATTGGCTCCCCCCGCCCCTGCTTTCAAGTGGATATTTAGCTTGTATTTTTAGCTTCCTTTATATATTGTATGCATTTAATTGTGTATATTTTCCTCTTAACACTTTCCTTTGGCTCTGGCAGAATGGTTTCACACACTTTGCTGCGCTGAGTTTTTATTATCATTCAGTTAAAAATATTTTCTAATTTCCATTGTGATTTCTTTTTTGACCTAATAGTTCTTTAGTTGTTAATAATTGACCTTTCTTTATTCATGTTAGAAAAAGGTAGCTTTATCCCACAACATATCGTTTTTACCTTTAACGACTTATATTTGTTTTTATTGCTTGCTTACTGACAGGTAATCCATTTCTTTATCATGTGTGGGTAAATCTTTACTTAGGTCTCAAAAAATATAAGTACTTCATGAAATTGTGTGAAGTGTTCTTACTATATATTTTTTCTTTAGTTTGACACAGCTTTTCCAATTGACAAAATTATTAGTAATGATTAAATAAATATACGAATAGCGAATACTTGTATAAGTTTATATGCTGTAAGTACCTTTGAGTTTTTGTCCTTTTCTGCTTTATAAAAGAATGTCTCTCAAATTTATAGGGTTTACTTTTTTGTCTGCTCAGTTGTACATTTATTCATTTATTCAACATTCAGTAAGTGTTTTATTTATGATGTGTTCTGTTTTGTGTTAGGCTTTGGAAGAATCCTATTCTCACTTTCCAGGGTTATTTAGTCTACTAGGGAGAATATAATTTATTATAGGGCAAAAACTACTATATTGTATGTGTGAGTTCAGTTAACAAAGAGGCCACAGAAAAGGCAATATTTAACATTTTTCAGAAATGGAGAAGTTTTCAAGTCATCACAAATGCTGTTTTCATGGTTTGTTAACAGGGGAAAGAATCGTTAAAAAAGTCCAACTAAAAAATGAATTTAAATATAAATTATACAAATTGTTAAATTATTAATGTTAATTGCTTCAGTATAAATTTTAATTATAACTGTTTTTTTAGTTAGTTGTTTTTACTAGCTATTTCTACTTTGTAATAGAATGGTATTACTTTATAAACTTGCATATAGATAATTAGTGTTTTATATTACTCTCTGCAGAATCAAAGAATTCCATCGGACATGGTATTTCTTAGGACATCAGAAAAAGCAGGTATTTTTATTTGTATTTAAATTGCTGATCATTTAGTATTTTAGCAGTTTAATTTTCATTTTGAAAGGTAAAAGTTAAATTTATTCTTATAAAAAGTTTTCTTCGAATGATAATACATTGAATTCATTAATTCTAAATCACATTTAACTGTTGATATTTAAAATGAAAATCTTTAGTGTATATGTTTGTTTTAAAAAATATAATCCTATCACAACCTTTATATCAAATGAGTGCTTTCATTCAAAGCTATATTGATATCTAAGTAATTAAATGATGTTGCTTGAAATTTGATTGCTATTCTGTATTTGCAGTTTTATTAATTCAGCAAAAGTTTATTTACGTTTATTTACCATAAGATGGGTGGGGGGAACAGAAGAGGAAGCAGACAGTTTGTGTAGGTGAGTTGAAGTGGGCTTCGCAGGATAAATGATACTTATATGACCTGAGCTTTCACCAGCGAGAAGAAGGTGGAAAAGGGGAAATGAGATGGAAGCCTCATGTGGTCAAGGAGAAGAACTGTGTGTTCATTAACAGAAGAGTTCAGCTACACCTAATAATCAAGTACACTTGATACATTTACTTTATTGTGTGTTACTCAATGGGAGGTTTTGTTCTTCCTGTGGAGCAGACTAGAGAGCTCCTCTTCCAGTCCATTCCCTTTCTTCTCAGAAATACAGCTGGACTCCGTTTCCTGTCCAGTGAGATGGGGCTGTGCTCTGAGGGCTGGCCAAAGGAGGCCAGCTGGCTGCTTCCAGACCTGGTCTTCACCTCTTCTGTAGCTCCATGGAGCCATGTGTCTCGAGTAAATGCACCCGGGGTTGTTGCAAGGCTTGGATTATTCTCCAGAGTTCTGAAAAAGTTGCTTTGGATGATTTTTACTGATGTTCTCATTATAGTTCTGGAGAAATGGATTTTCAGAGATTTTCACATTGCCATCCCTGTTTACATCACCTATTGTTTATGATGTTTGTCTTTGTTTCTAAATGTGTTCAATATAATGAATAGAAAAATGTTTGCGTTTGAGAAATGCTTTCATATTAATGACCCTTTTAATGATTGTGGTAGAAATATATATGAGATTAAGAACATTATCCTAAATATGGAAATGTTTTTTAGATAATTAACTTAAAAGAAATAACAGGTTTTGTTAGGGGATAAAAGATGAAGGAAATCCAGCACTTTAAAACTGGAAGATGATGAGAACTGTCCATTTTCTAGAGGAGGAGTCTGAGGGCTGAACAATATGAATGCCTTGTTGAAGATCATGTGACTAACAGCAGTTTTAGTTCTTCAGCCTCTGAATGACTTATAGCCAGCAAAACATAGAATATTAGAGCATTAGGCAAATGAGATACTCCATATTATGTTAGCTTTGGATAAATAACATATCTAAACTGATGACTTTTTTTTTTTTTAGAGATTTTATTTATTTATTTGACAGAGAGAGAGAGAGCACAGCAGGGGGAGTGGCAGGCAGAGGGAGAGGGAGAAGCAGGCTCCCCGCCGTGCAGGGGGAGCCCGATGCGGAGCTCGATCCCAGGACCCCAGGATCATGACCTGAGCGGAAGGCAGACGCTTAACTAACTGAGCTGCCCAGGCGCCCTAAACTGATGACGTTTTAAAAACATTTTCTTTCCCTCTAGTTTTCCTTTGGGTTTCATGTTATAGGGACGTGTTGTAGTATAATGATACTTAATATTTTGTAGGTCCTGGATCTCTTTGAGAATCTTTTTTTTAAATTTTTTTGAAAGATTTTTATTTATTTATTTGACAGAGAGAGAGCACAAGCAGGGGGAGCATCATAGGGAGAGGGAGAAGCAGGCTTCCCCGCCGAGCAGGGAGCCTGACTCAGGGCTCGATCCCAGGATGGTGGGATCATGACCTGAGCCAAAGGCAGACGCTTAACTGACTGAGCCGCCCAGGCGCCTTTAAGCTTACAGTTCTCAGTTTCATTATTTTTTTCTATTAAATTTAAATTGTTACAATTCACTGATTGTAGATATACAGGTATTAAAATGTCAGATTGCTATTTCATGCTGTTCTTCTTCTTTTTCTGAAATGGACCAAATAGCTTCGCAGCTGGATAAAATGTGTGTCATGATATTGCTTTAAATCAGGAATTCTTAGCTTTGGAAATTCTGTTTCTGTGACTTTAAGTGATTATTTTAAGTTTTTTAATTGTCTCGTTTTCAAAAGTACACATACTCAGAATTTTTTGTGTATCAACTAACACTATTGATATTATTACTTTTCAGTTTCAGTTCAGAAGAATCTGATAGTGCATTGTCTACTAAAATAAAAATCTTCAAACCCTAGCCAGTATAAAAGTCTTAAATCTGTGTGGTGTGTCGGAGCTTGGACAGTTGCAGCTCAGGGAGTCTCTTTGTGGTGTCATATTGACTGTGTATTAACACAGGGCTTCCTGTGGGGCCGGCATCTAATTGTTTAGAATGCAGATGAAGCTGTTGATGGATCTGGGGACTGATGGCTTAAATTCCAATTAATCAATTGCTTCATCAGTTTCTTAATTCAGATCAAATATCTCCTGAATGCACACAGTTCTTTTAGTGGTATTAAGAGAAATTAATGCTTTAGAACTAATTTTCATCAATCTCTTATAAATGCCAATATCTTTTTCACTTGTCTCCTCAGTGATGACCTTATGGTTTAAGTGTTTGGGACATATTACAATAGCTCAGCCGTCACCTGTTAGTGGTGCAGGGGTAGGTAAATGACACTGTACTCATCCACATTCTCTCTTTGGTGCTATTCATCTTCCCACCAGCTTAAAAATTTCATGTGGAGTCATTAAGTCATATAAATGATTTAGAAATTAAGTTTAATGGCAGACGATCTGGTATTACATATGTGAAGTCAATGTCTGTTTTTCTTTTGTTGGGCATCTACTGTGCCCATCTCTCTCAGAGCTATTGGATTCCTGAGCTGTTGCAGACAATCTACTAATATTACAGGATAACTTATCACCGTGTATGACAGACTCCGGTGCTCAGTCTCATCGTGTCCCATCACTTACTTTATCACCACTTGAGGCAGCTCTCCTGTGTGACACATAGCCTAGTTGATCTTCATTTGATTGTCATTAAACCTGTCCTTTCCTGTCAGCTCTTGTCAATTATACAAAATAAAATCAAGTATTCATAAGAAGTCTGTAACGGGATATAAGCAGACCAATTTAATAATTCATTTTTGCTGAGCCTTCACTGGCCTCCATTTTAGCTAGTGCTTGCTGTTAAACATTATTAGATGTAGTACGTGTAAGACACGGCAAGTTGGCCATACTTCTGACTTTGCTACAGTTCATTCTCTTTTTTTAAATCCTGTCAGTTACTGCGAGGTTGGTAATGTGAACTGTACTTGAAGATAAGCAATATGTCTATTGCCCCTAAATTTTTAAAGCAGCATATAATTATTTAACGTGAAGCATGTCCTTTTTTCTTTAAAGAAAGACAACTATAGGGGCGCCCGGGTGGCTCAGTCGTTAAGTGTCTGCCTTCGGCTCAGGTCATGATCCCAGGTTCCTGGGATCGAGTCCCGCATCAGGCTCCCTGCCCAGGAGGAAGCCTGCTTCTCCCTCTCCCACTCCCCCTGCTTGTGTTCCTTCTCTCGCTGTGTCTGTCTCTGTCAAATAAATAAATAAAATTAAAAAAAAAGACAACTATATTGCTTCCAGTGTTTAATAAGTTTACAGAACCTAGGTATTACTTTCACTTTTAGAAACAGAATATTTGAAATACAGAAGACTCTAGAGATTCTCCCTTCTTATTTTCTGTATTAGAAAGCAAACCTAGAGCAGAGCTGTTGGCACTGACATCTCAAAGTATGTGTCAGACGGAATCTAGAATCCGGTCCCTACGCGGCTACTTTTGTATCAGAACACACATAAGCACGTACACACACACGTATAAACATGCATATATTTTAAAAGGAAAAAAAAAATCAAGTTTGAAAAACTGTTTAACTGTAAAATAACATCCACTACAAATTTTCCTATCCTCCTTTTCAATTGAAACCAGTTTGTAAAATATTCTCCTTGTGGTGGGTCCTTTGGCAAGTAATGCATAACAAAATTTATTTATGTGTTTAGATGTATCTTTCAAAGTACATGTAATCAGACAAAGGTCTCCTGGGTAAGTCTTCACTTGATACAGTAGATGACTCAGAAGTCATTTCATAGCTCTCCATCTTCCGGAGCCTTGGGAAAGTGACTTGGCCTCTGTGACCCTCCTGGAATCGTGCTGGTAGCACCGCAGCAGAGAGCAGCTACAAGGCTTGGAAGTGCCATTGGTGAAGGGTCTGCGTGGGGCACGTTCCAGATCCTGAACTGTGATTAGGTGAAGGTGCATTGGCTGGCGGAGAAAAGTAGTAAGAGCAAGAAAACGCTCGTGGTACGTGCAGGACTACAGCTTCTTCCAGAGGGCTCAAGGGAGAATGCGTCTAGCACGGATGTGGGTTTGCACAGACCCGTTTCAGTGTTAGGACACTATGTAAGAGGTGTCCTGGACTGGGCTCGGTGAAGATACGTTCTGACTGACCTGTCTACCTTCACTAGTTCCCCAGACTTGAGAAAGAGGTCGCTAAATGAGTTCCCGGCGTACGGCTCTCACTGGCAGACTTCAGTAGATTTTCCTCTGAATTTTACAATGCAACTCTGAAGTCAGTCCGATTCCCCCCCACCCCCCGTGCAGATGAAAACTTTAGTGGGGCGAGGTAAGTGGCAGGGAGCATTGGTGAGTGAGGTGCAGAGCTGGTGTTCAGCTCAAGACTGGCCCTTCCTGCTGTGCCCCGGGAACAGGAGCCTCTCTTAGAGCGCGGCTGACACTCGGGGCCACGTCGCTCTTCACTGGCGCCGTCGGTCTTACCTGCCTTAGGCTGCTGAGCAGCACTCCTGCCCCAGGTCATGAGATACCAGCAGCAGGTTTGAAAACAGACAGGGTCTCCACAAGTTTCCAAGTGCCCGCACTCCAGGGGGGAATCACCCC